CCCCCCCCCCCACCACACACAATGGAAAGAGAGAAATATGGACAATGAATGTTAGAACTTTGGAAATACTGTTTAGGGGGTAAACTGAAATATAACAAAGGAATATATAAATTAGTTTTTGTAAATGCAATGAAATATACAATATACTGCTTCAGGAAAAATGAATAAGTCAAGTTGCAACCAACAACTAATGAAAAACTTTTAAAAATATAAGATAAAGAGGAGTTTTCTCAAAAACAAAACAGAAAGAAAGAGACCCAAAGTTATAATTTCAATCAAAAAACTTTCAGGTTAAAACAACTTCCCAGACATAAAAGAAAGGTAGAAAACTAATTGTTTTCAAAAACAAACAAATTATTTAAAAAACCTTTCCCCCTATCCAGTATAATCTTCAGAGTTATTTGAGGCTAAACATAATATACTAAAGGGAACTAAAATAATTATGAATATTTATATAGCATGGTTATCTACATGGAAATTTGGGAGAAGCAAGAGAAATTGTGAGGATTTCACAGAACTTAACAATGTCATTGGTTAAATGCAAGTAGTAAAATCTTTCACGTTTACCAGCAACAAACAACCAGATATATAGTGCAAAATGACTGTGGCCATCATTTGTAAGTCATAACCTATTATGTAATTTTTGACCCATCAAATCATGTCTTTGATTATTTTGACTTGGAAAATCCAAACTTGAAAGGTGTAGACTTGCAAAGTCTAGATCATGCTTAGCCCTATCATACCTGTGTGTAATAAGTAGACACATTTTACCTGTATGTAATAAGGGCTCATATGATTTAATTGATTATAATCCAGTAAACACATCTTCAAGGTCTTCTTGGAAGAAGGAGATTATGTGAGAAGTCAAGAGAACCAGTTTTGTTTAAACCAGAACAATAAATTGGAAATTGGCCAAGGGAGCAGAAACAAGCACTAGTGAACAGCTTAGAATATGAGCATGTGCACAAAGACAGCCTTTACAGAATAAAATCAAGGGAGATCGGGTCTCTGCTATAACGTATGCACTATGTTAGTGTCCTTTTGATTCATTAAGAGGCCCAGGAGTACCTCGGTAGTATCAAATAACAGTGTACAAAAGATTATTTTTCTCCTAAATTTTATTTATATTGTGCAAAATGCTTGTTCATCTTTTGTCTCAGAATGAAATTAATGTCACTACCATCTTCTTGTATAGGACATTTTTATTGGTATAGAAAGTAACATGCTTTACAATTGACTATCATGTATGGAGTCAACAGCTCCAGGCTGACACCAAGATACTTCATTCTCAATGGGATTCCTAAACTGGAAGCTGCACACACCTGGATCTCCCTGACATTCTGCATCATGTACATCATTGCTGTCCTTGGGAACTGTGGGCTCATCCACCTCATTAGCCACAAGGAGGTCCTGCATCGGCCCATGTACTACTTCCTGTCCTTGCTGTCCCTTACAGATGCTAATGCATGTACTTTGCATGTCCCTAATGTTATGTATCTTTTGGTTCAATCTCAAAGGGATCGACTTTAATGCCTGCCTTATGCACGTGTTTTTCATCCACATGCTGACAAGTATGGAGTGTGGTGTGCTCATGCTTATGGCCTTGGACTGCTATGTGGCTATTTGCTATCCTCTGCGCTATTCTACCATCCTCACCAACACTGCGATTACCAAGGTTGGGTTTGCCACCTGCAGTAGAAGTGTGTTGCTCACAATCCCATTTACTTTCCTGATCACACATCTCCCCTTCTGCAGGGGAAACCTCATCCACCACACCTACTGTGGCCACATGTCATTGGCTAAATTATCCTGTGGCAACATCAAGATTGATGCTATCTATGGTCTAGTAGCTGTCATATTGATTGCAGGATTTGATATTTTCTATACCTGCATGTCTTACATTCTGATTATCTGTGCTGTAGTAAATCTGTCATCTGCAGATGCTTGCCACAAAGCCTTTAGCACCTGCACATCACACATAGGTGCTATTGTTATCACCTATGTCCCAGCCTTCTTTAACTTCTTCACTCATCGCTTTGGGGGACGCTCCATACCTCACCATGTTCATATTTTCATAGCCAACCTCTACATGTTGCTGCCTCCCACTTTGAATCCAATTGTTTCTGAAATGAAGACCAAGCAGATTCATGAAGGAGTGATCAAATTATTTTTTACAGAGAAAGATATTATGAGTATGAGCTAAGTCTATGTTATAAAATTCTGCATTTAGTATTAGGGTAAAGAAAAACGTTCTGGAGGAAATGAATAGATGCAGAATTCACAACCATGATGTCAGGAGAAACTACCTGTCAATATTCTGCTATAATATTTATGAAATAATCACAAAACTTTTCATCTGAGACTTTTAATTTGAAATAAAAATAAAATCAATAGGAAAAAATATTATTTTCCACACAGGTAAACTTTAGTTAGTCCTGGTGAATGAATTCAGAGAATAGAAAATCTATAATTTGAAGTAAACTTTTGATGATTAATGCTTTTCGTCTAAGGCACTCTGTGGGAGTGTATAGAAAAGAACAAAGACAGTCAGATAGCTGAGAGACTCCAGAAGAATGGACAGTTTACATAGGTGCAAGGAAGCCAGAAACACTCGCCCACAATGTTTGTGCTGAATTCCAAGGGTACTGCCATCCCTTTTAAGTCATATTTATGTGAAACTTGTATAGCTTAGAGAACAAATTCCTCCTTGTCTGCTCATTTATTAATGATGTTCTGCTGCCTGGGTAATTATTTGGATTTCTATTTATGTATTCATGTACATACAAATGAAGCCGGAGTAAATATGATTATTGGAATTCATTGTAATCTGGGAAGTACCCTTTGGAATTGATATCAAGTAGAATTTTGAGAAAAACAATGGACATATGTGGCAGGTATTGAGTAAAGGCTTCATGAGTAGAAGAAAGGAGACTTAAAGAAAATCTATATAATTTTCCAGTCAAGGGTGTCTGGGCTTGACTGCTTTATTTGACTTTAATACTGGGGAGAAATAGTGATCAGGGACATTGAAGAAAGGAGTATTTTATTTAGATTTCTGGAAATACCAGAGAAAAAAGTAACAGAAGTGAATGATAAGTGTAGTATTCAGAAAGAGTGAGACTGAGTGAAAAGTGAAAAAGAATGAGAGCATAACCCAAGAAGTAATTGGAGTAATAGAATGTGATCAGGGAATGGACACAAATAGATAATTAGGTGGAAATATTATATTGATAAATATTATATTCATATTACTTGCAAATATGTTGAATATATTTTATTACATTATATATAGTCAAATGATTGTAAAATGTATTATTCACATCATGTATTTTGCAATGTAATTTCACATTTGTAAGAAAAACCCATTTTGTTTTGTTTTGTTTTATTTAATACTAACATAACAGTGCCTCTATGTAATGTAACTTGTGGACTTAAAATCAGTAAGTTGCTGTATCTTGGAATTATGTTTTTGGATTTTGTAAATTTTACTCATTGGGGAATTTTATTTAAGCAACTAAAATAAAATACTTTTCCTAAACTGCTATTTAAAAAATTATATATTGGGGTCACCTGGGTGGCTCAGTCAGTTAAGCATCTGACTTTGGCTCAGGTCATGATCTCGCGGTTCGCGAGTTCGAGCCCCGGGCTTGGTGCTGACAGCTTGGAGTCTGCTTCGGATTCTGTGTCTCCTTCTCTCTCTGCCCCTCCCCTGCTCACACTCTGTCTCTCTTTCTCAAAAAATAAATAAACATTAATTTTTTTTAATTATATATTGGGTCAGGTACTATAATAATGCTTCATGTATAGTATTTCATTGAACTTTAAGTCAAAACCATGGGATAGCTATAATTGTCCTCATATAGAAGAGGAATATGAGCCACACAAACAGCAGGACTGGATGAATCTCAGAAGATGAAGACTAAAATTTAAATGCAATCATGTTACTAGGCCTATGTTTTGGGGTGAGAGTGTGGGGGTGCTATTTGTTGCAATAGCAGCAAAGCAAAACTTGAACACAAAGTTACAAATGTGGAGAAATAAAATGTAAAAAATAACACTTATTTGAGGCACCTGAGTAACAATCCCCAATTAATTTTATGCCATTAAATTAATGGAAATTAAGTGTTAAGGAAGGGTTAAGGAAAGGGTTAAGGAAAACAACAGCAGTATAACTCTGAAAACAAAGAATCACAACTGAACTAGAACCAGCAGTCCAGAATAGTTGAGATTTTTAAATTATAAGGTAGATCATGATGGAAGGAAGTTCTATACAGTATTCATGGGAGGGAGGGAGGGAGGGAGGGAGGCAAGGAGGGAGAGAGATAGAGAGAGAGAGAGAGAGAGAGAGAGAAAGAGAGAGAGAGAGGATTAAAGTACAGGAGAGGAAAAGACAGCAAAAAATTGTGGAAGACACTTAATTTCAAATTCCATCTCCTGCCCAAGGTCCTGCCCAGGTCCAAGTTGTGAGCACAGCTCAATGTGCCTGGAGAGGCCCCACACCCCCACATCAACCTCACATAGTTTGATTAGCTCCAGAAACAAGGTATCAGGTATAGAGTACTCACACTTAGACTTCAATTTAATTCAATCAAAACTCTTTTCAAACTAAGAGATAGTAATATTCCCAAAAGGAAGGAAATGGAAAGAAATGACAAGGTGATATGTCACCTTGCATAGTGAAATTATCCTGTTCCTGAAGCATCTCCAGAACCATTTGGCCCACCATTCAGACTGCTCATATATGCAGATGTACAGAGATTGAGACAATGGAACAACAAAACAAACCTTAAAGATGGAGGACCCAAACAGTGAGCATTCCACATGACCCCTCCACAAGTGTCTACTAAGCACAAGTTGTGTTTCTCTTTTATTGAACTGGCAAAATTAAGCCAAAATATGCTTGGAATCTTATCTCACCCTTTCCCTGAGTTCTGTCTCTTAGTATCAATGAATAACAAATTTGCTTTTCCTTGAAAAGAAAAATACCAAAGACACTGCTTGTATTTTCAAATAACTTAAACTATTTTCAGGGCACCTGAATGGCTCAGTCGATTAAGCATCCAACTTTGGCTCAGGTCATGATCTCATGATTTGTGAATTCGAGCCCCTATTCAGGCTCTGGGCTGACAGCTCAGAGCCTGGAGCCCACTTCAGATTCTGTGTCTCCCTCTGTCTGCCCCTCCGCTGCTTGCACTCTGTCTCTCGCATTCTCTCAAAAATAAATAAACATTTAAAAAAAAACCCTATTTTCAAAGAAGTTTTACAGAAAATCTGAAAAATGAAAAGACTGCACAAGATTGACTCAATTATTTTGTGAGATGATTATATGTGAGAATTTTGAATTCAACATTTCTACATTTTAGATAAGGAGTCAGAGGCATTCCAGTCAACAGAAAAGAGGTTTGATATTGGCCTGGGGTTTCCCCTGGTTCCTGTGAAGCAATAAATATGTGTAGAAACTAGATAATTATTCACGTCTATCTACCAGTTGGGTACCTTTATGTTAAATTATCAATGCAAAGATATTTTTATCCAGCCCAATGCCATCTTCACGTACTGCAACATACCATAAACTTCTAAATCGCAATAGGGCATAGAGGGCAGTAGGCTAATGTGCACTAAGTGGTGCTGATTGTGCAGGGAAGAAAAATTGTAGATGTGGAGGGGGGCATTTGCCTAAGTATAGTTTTCAAAAGTGAAGTACTGCAACCTGCTGTAGTGATAAGAACTCTGGTTGCAGTTAAAGCCAGGAGTTTGGGGGTCATAAAAGAGGACAGTCCAGAGGAACAAAGGAGAGAGAGAAGAAGGGGCGGAATAGAAGGGAAAGGAGGAGAGCTGATCACACTCTGAATATTGTACAGGAAGACATGGTACAATGCAAAAGAACAAGCAGCGATGATTTTAAGGAAAGGAAAAGGACAGATGTGGAGGAGGGGTGCAACATTCTCCACGTCTTATTACTACAAGTATAGGCACTTCATTTAGACTAACATCTATATTAATTGTTATATTACAAGTATATAGTTATTGAATATTACACATAATAACTATAAAATGAGTAAATGAAGTACACAAACTTTTTATTTTTTTAAGATTTTATTTTTGAGTAATCTCTATACCCAAGGTGGGGTTCAAACTCACAACCCCGAGATCCAGAGTAGCATGATCTACCAATCGAGCCAGCCAGGCACTCCTGAGGTATAGAAAACTTTTTAGGGTGGTTATTCCTCTGTATTTGGATTTACAAGTGATTTTCTAACTTTTTAATACTTTTCTGTGTTTTCCAGAGTTTCTACATAAAGGACGTATTTCTTTAGTAATAAGAGAAAAACAGGTTTTAAGTTTATTTATGTCTTTTGAGAGAGACAGAGAGAGAGAGAGAGAGCAAGCAAACTTGAGCAGGGGAGGGGTAGAAAAAGAGGGGGAGAATCCCAACCAGGCTCCACTTTGTCAGCGTGGCCCGATGTGGGGCTCCAACTCATGAACTGGGAGATCATGACCTCAGCAGAAATCAAGAGGCTGACATTTAACCCACTACACCACACAAGTGCCCTGAGGGAAAAAAAAGCTACTGATGTTCATCACCACATTTGGTGGTCACATTTCTCACTTGGGAAAAGGCATTAACTTTACTGCGTTTTGTTTTTGTTGTTCCCTTTTCTACTCAGAAGCTTCTAAATATAGATTTGTTACCACCAGGCCAGAAGTTTATTCTCTTTCAATGAGAATCCCTCTGAGACATCTAATTCTGGAGCCTCGGTCTACCCGGGACATCTCACTGGAGATTCTCCAGGGAAACAAAAATCCTATGTAAGAAGATGTCATCCCAGATTTTGAGGAACTCCTAAGTATTCTCAGCCATGAATAGAATTGTGCCTCACACTGAGGTGAGTTTGGGAAATTTTCACAAATGGTTATTTTAGGAAAGGTAACAACATTGATGGCTAAGAACACAATGGCCTAGAATATGCAGACAGTTTTAAAAATAGACATTAGCAAGGGGCAGTGAATTCCTCTTTCCCTTTCACTTCTGCAGGGGTAATGAGACTCTTTCTTCCTGTGTGGCTTCTGCTGGACTCTTACTTTCCAGTCACCCACTCATTTTATTGTGGCGTTCACATAAAAGACAGCAGACACGGGAGATTGTAATCTTTACATTTCTCTGGTCTAGGGCAAGGAAATGCTGGTTCCTCCATGGGGGGACATTTCTGGAGAGGTCTGGGAGAACTCTCTTACGAGAAGAGTTTATTTACATGAGAGGCAATCACCTTAGGAGCCAAAGACCATGAGCCAGTGAACCTTGTATTCTTTTGTATACTCTTTCCGTGGTGACTTCTATGTACCCTGGCCAATAGGAGTGGACACAAGAGTGATTTCCAGATGATTTAGGTAACAGGAATCTCTGTCTTGTGTCTTTAGAGCCATGTGCTACATGTCATCGTATTGCAAGTTTCTACACAGCCCTGCTGGATGGGGGATTGTTCGGCATTGATTTGCTGCATGGAAAGGTGCCCACCCAGAGCTTAAGGACCATTTTATATTTTTCAATGGAGAGAAATAGTTGACCATTTGGTAACTACAACTTTCCTCAAACATCCCTGAATCTGTAAATTCCTTGAACCATCCCTCAGTTCTATTTTCTTTACAAGTATTAGCAATCCAAAAATATGATATTATCTTTTTTACTGATAAACTGTCCAGTTATAATAAAAGAAATATTATCTACATTAAGCATTATAGACAATTAGTAATCCTTAGAACTTCAAGGGCTTCCTAAATATAAATCTTGTATTAAAAATGGCTTGGAAACTAATTTAAGAAAATGCGGAAAAGCAGAGAAGCCATTTATGAAGTTGGGGGTATCTGACTGAATTCATCTCTTTAGTAAAATTTTTACAAAAATTCCATGAAACTTGCTAATGATTTAGAAGCAGAAGTACTTTTGTTCTTCTCAAGAACTTCCTTTGAAATTTCATTGTGTAGAAAAGCATGATATTGATATCAGATACTAAGTTCTTACTAATTCAAACAATCATTTGTTCACATATATTTTTATTGAGTATCTAAAATGTGTTCCCTTAAGCACGTTATAGGGAACATTATGGGAAGACTTTACCTGGATTATTAGCTTTCTTCATAATCTTCAAGGCAGGACAAAAGTCCTGTTGATAAGAACTAGTCGGATTAGGGTGATCCTCGAAACATACTCACATGATCATAGTGACAAGACTCAGAAAGAATCTGAGAGGAGAGAATAAAAGTGGCATATTGGAAGACAATTCTGGCCCAGTTCACAGAATGTGGAGGAATATAAGAGGTGTGCTGGAACTTTAGAAAGTGAGGGTAGATACTTAGACAAAATATTCAATGAGACGCCAAGTAGTACTGTTTAGTTATTTTTAGACACCACCGTTCAAAGACTGTCTTGCTAGAGTAGAGGAAAAAAATAACAAGCTGCTACCATGACAAGGTTCATGGCATTTGTGAGTATTATTACCTGAACTACTCCCTCTTATGGGGTTTCTAAGCCCACCTCTCTCTCTCCTATGCAGAAAGCAAATGCTGATAAAGAGCATAAAATGCTCTCCTCTTCTCCACAGTCATGTGTGGGGAAAACAGCTCCAGCCTGACCCCGGGATTCTTTATCTTGAATGGGATTCCTGGGCTGGAAGCTGCACACACCTGGATCTCCCTGCCATTCTGCTTCATGTACGTCATCGCTGTCGTGGGGAACTGCGGGCTCATCTACCTAATCAGCCATGAGGATGCCCTGCACCGGCCCATGTACTACTTCCTGGCCCTGCTCGCCTTCACCGATGTCACCCTGTGCACCACCACTGTACCCAATATGCTGTGCATATTCTGGTTCAACCTCAAGGAGATTGACTTTGATGCCTGCCTGGCTCAGATGTTTTTCGTCCACATGCTGACTGGGATGGAGTCTGGGGTGCTCATGCTCATGGCCCTGGACCGCTATGT